TCACCCTCCTATAGAAAAGATTTGTTTTTGGCCTCTCTTTTCTATACTGGCCATCATAAACCACAAATACTGGTAGATGATCACTAATATCATTTATAAGTAATCCACTTGTCATTTTGCTGTCAATAACATTGGTAAGTATATTATCTATTAGTGTTGCATGCTGGGTTGTTACTCTACTTGGTTTTGTAATTTTGGGGTATAAACTGCATCTATATATTGTGTTAATAAACTCCTCAGTTCCTATGTGCTTGTTAGAATTTAACAAATCTATATTGAAGTCACCACATATGAACATTAATTTATGACTTATTGTCAAGCAATTTTCTTCCATCCAGTCATTAAATTTTTCTTTGCTGGCTCCAGGTGCTCTATAAATACAGCTTATTACAACTTTTTTTTTTTATTCCACGAGTATTTCAACAGTCACACATTCTAGCAAATTATCCACCACCCTTGACATTTTGTCTACTTTCTTATAACAAAAGTTTTTATCTATGTACAAGGCCACATCACCTCTATTGGGGACAGGTCAGGATGGCAGACAGGCCAGTCCAGCACTCACCACCCCCTTTTCCTCCACAGCCAGGCCTTGGTAATGTGTACAGTATGAGGTTTTGCATTGTCTTGTTGAAATATGCATGGGTGTCCCTGGAAAACATGTCGTCTTGAAGGAAGCACATGTTGCATTTTTTAGCATTAATGAAGCCATCAGAGAAGTGTAAGTTACCTTTGCCACATGCACTGACACAACCCTGCTGCTAACAGTCTGGATGGTCCTTGGTGTCCTCAGTCCCTAAACGTCTTAAGTGTTGTGAAAAGGAACGGCAACATCACACTGTTGTAAATGCTTTACTGTCCCAACTTTTTTTGGAATGTGTTGCAGGCATCAGAATTGAAGTCAGTGTTAATTTTGAACACCTGACCAACTCCCAACAGGACTGTTGTTTAGATTTAGTTATAGAATTATATGTGTGGACTCCTCTGCAAGTCTTGCAAAAATTTATTTTGACTGAACAAACTGATTCAAACATTTTAATTTGTTTATGTTTTACAGGAAACTTTAAAGTAACAGCAGATACATACAGTAGAAGCAGATAAATAAGAAGTTAACTGGATAGTTTAACATACTGTAATAGAACCACCAGGAATAAAACTATTATCTTTGTACCAATCTATAAATATATTATTGCACTTAATATGACAGCACAGCACTACTATGAGACAATATTATGCTTAAGAAATAATCTTGTTACTTTCCATTCAGCTCTTTACACATCAGCATATGCTAGTGCGTGACTGTATCGAAATATGTGTGAACAAACCTCACTATCTATTAGTGGATCTGTGTGTGCTGATACTGTTGCTACCATAGAAC